GGAGGAGATCTAGCAAATCAAATGCACGTTGCGCAATCAACAAGATGCAACAACGCAAAAAAACAACAACAAAACAACAAAAACAACACAAACAAACAAAAAACAAACAAAAAAAACGACCAGGGAATTTTGTTCGTTGTGCAAATCGACCGACGTTTCGTGTTCGGAAAAAAAAACAAGAGGAAATCGCGAGAGGAATTTCAACGGTTTAGTAAATAACGAACTTTGTGCGAGAGAAAGATTCCTCTGATAAGAATATTAATGATAAAGAATATATTGATAATGATGATAAGGTTTATGATAAAAGGAATCACATATGAATGGTAATGATAATATTCTAAAAAGTGATAATTGATGTTATAATCATGCAGTTGTTGATAATGATGCTATTAAAGATAATACAACTACCGATAATTAATAATAATAACATATTTACATTATCATGATGATAATAATAACAACAAATACATCAGTACCAGCGCTAACAACATGAACAACAAACAACAACATGAACAACATGAACAACATGAACAATAAAACAACATGAACAACAAAACAACATGAACAACAAAACAACAACAACAACAAAAACAACATGAACAACAAACAACAACATGAAAACAAACAACAAAACAACAACAACATGAACAAAACAACAACAACAATGATAAAAAGTAATACAAAATAGTAACACAAAATTACCAAAGAACACCAACGCCATTTTCCAAAGACAAAGGCAAAAACAACTCCCACGCAGAGAGAGAGAAAGAAAAAAGAAGAAGAAAAAAAAATTGGAACCAGTAAAAAGAGAGAGAATTTCTTCCCGACGCTCAGTGCTTGCCTAGCTACAGAGAGGAGAGGACCTGCTCGCCGGCCTGGGGCGATGCAGCTCCTTTTCCTCAAGGTCACACGAACAAAACTTGCTCTTTTTTTCTTTTTTTTTTTTTTTTTTGTTTTATTGTACCTTTTGCGTACGTGGGCATTTGTACATAAAAAAATGAAAATATGGCAGGTATATATACTTATCTTTTTAGAGATGTACGGACATAGGAAAAGAAGAAATAAAGTAAAAAACAAGCAAAAATGTAGAAATAAAAGAAAAAAGTTAACGCAAGGAAAATTTATGTATGTTGGTTGAGTTTTTTTTAGTTGCACATGAAAACCTGCAAGATATGTGCGTAGACTTCTAATCACACACACACACGCACACGCACGCACATCATTCACACACACACACGCACGCGCACGCACGCACAACACACACACACACACCACACCACACCACACACACACACACACACACACACACACACGACACACACACACACACACACACACACACACACACACACACACACACACACGCAACACACACACACACACACACACACACGCACACACACACACACACACACACACACACCACACACACACACACACACACACACACACACACGCACACACGCACACACACACACACACCACACCACACACACACACACACACACACACACACACACACACACACACACACACACACACGCACGCACCACCACACACACACACACACACACACATACACACACACACACACACACACACACGCACGCACGCACGCACGCACGCACACACACACACACACACACACACACAACAACACACACACACACACACACACATGCACGCACGCACACACACACACACACACACACACACAGACGCACGCACGCACACACACCACACACACCACACACACACACACACACACACCAACGCACACACACACACAACACTATCACACACTATCATCACTATCATTCTACATCACACCCACACATCTGTCTATATTGTTAATCGATCTATATTAATGGGTGCTGTGTTTGCATATTAATAAAATCAATAGTCTACTATCCAGTATTATCCCAATTCTGTTTATGCATTTATCCACAATATTTTATTCATCTTATCCTTTCCTCCCATCACACACGCTGACTACTAGTCCAAACGCTGTTTGATGACGTTCACTCAAGCGTCTGTAGACGTCATCAACCAAAACTGAAGCCCAAAATCGCCAAAAAATCGACCAAATCCACTTATACCAAATCCTCTTAGACCGAATCCCTCATAATCCGAAATCCTTTTAGTCGTGATTATCCCTTTACTATGCATATACTCCAACTGCATCCTCATACATATCCTGCTCGAACTCTTCATCCATGACTCTCATTACTGTGCTATTCCTCAATCAATCCCTGTTAATCTCGACTCCTCATTGATCGAATCCCTCATATCGAATCCCTCATACCGAATCCCTTATGCCGAATCCCTCATACCGAATCACCTCATACCGAATCCCTTCATACCGAATCCTCATATCGAATCCCTCTGTATCGTGAACTCCTCATATCTATATTCGCTCTTATACCTGATATTTCTCTTACCAATCGAACCTCTTTCATACCGAATCCCTCAACCGATCCCTATACCAAATATCTTCCTTACCGATTCCCTCATACAAGAATCCCTCATACCGAACGAATCTAATTTACCTCTCATTACGTTAACCCCTATTACTTATAAATCCCTCAATACCGAATTTCCCTTCATCCGAAATCCCTTATGCGAATCCCTCATATCGAATCCCCTATATCGAAATCCCCTCATATCGAATCCCGTCATATCGAATCCCTCATTATAGAATCCTCATACCGAATCCCTCATACCGAATCCCTCATACAAGAACCCCTCATGCCAATCCCCATACTAAATCCCTCATACCGAATCCCTTCATTACCAAATCCCTCATACCGAATCCCTATACTAAATCCCTCATGCCGAATCCCTCATACCAAATCCCTTATACCGAATCCCATACATACCGAATTCCCTCATACCGAATCCCTCATACCAA